CCCCCCCCCGCGGGAGGAGGGGCCCTCCCCCTTTGACCGCGGAAAAGGCGCCCCCAATTTGAAATAAAAGGCGGAGTTACCCGGTGTTGGTTTGGCGCGCCCCTGCCCCGGAAGAAGGGGAGCCCCCCGGGGGGAGGGGACCGTTCCCCCTTGAAGGCGGCAAAGGCGTCCCCCCTCGAGTAGAGGGGGGGTTTCCCGGTGTTGGTCGGCGCGCCCCTCCCCCCGTTCGAAAAGGAGCCCCACGCGGTGACGGAGCCGTCCGCCTTGACCGCGGCAAAGGCCCCCCCCCCCCCCGAATTCGAGTAGATGGCGGTGTAGCCGGTGTCGGTCGGCGCGCCGCTGCCGCCGTACGAAGAGGAGCCCCACGCGGTGACGGAGCCGTCCGCCTTGACCGCGGCAAAGGCGCGCCAAGTCGAGTAGATGGCGGTGTAGCCGGTGTCGGTCGGCGCGCCGCTGCCACCGGACGAAGAGGAGCCCCACGCGGTGACGGAGCCGTCCGCTTTGACCGCGGCAAAGGCGCAACAAGTCGAGTAGAGGGCGGTGTAGCCGGTGTCGGTCGGCGCGCCGCTGCCGCCGGACGAAGAGTAGCCCCACGCGGTGACGGCGCCGTCCGCCTTGACCGCGGCAAAGGCGCGCTCAGTCGAGTAGATGGCGGTGTAGCCGGTGTCGGTCGGCGCGCCGCTGCCGCCGAACGAAGAGTAGCCCCACGCGGTGACGGAGCCGTCCGCCTTGAGCGCGGCAAAGGCGTTCCCCGTCGAGTAGAGGGCGGTGTAGCCGGTGTCGGTCGGCGCGCCGCTGCCGCCGGACGAAGAGTCGCCCCACGCGGTGACGGAGCCGTCCGCTTTGACCGCGGCAAAGGCGCAACAAGTCGAGTAGAGGGCGGTGTAGCCGGTGTCGGTCGGCGCGCCGCTGCCGCCGAACGAAGAGTAGCCCCACGCGGTGACGGAGCCGTCCGCCTTGAGCGCGGCAAAGGCGTAACGATGAGCGTAATGTCGCCCATCCGTACCCGGAAACCCGCGCTGAACGGCTCGTGTCGAATACTGAGCCTCGCAAGGAGCAAGCATACCAAAGGCGCATAGCAGAACCAAGCTATGTGAGTTGAACTGCTGGTGGTGAATCTGAGACGGCGTGCGATGGCGGGAACGACGTTCGGCAGGCTCGAGCGAGGCGGCGGATCTCGAGCTGCCCTTGTCGTCTCGGCCGCCTGCCATCCCGACGAGCCGCCAGCTGCAAACTGCGGCGACGAGGAGGGCAGCTTTGATGAAGAGGATGGTCGTTGAGGATGCGACAAGCGCGGCACCGCCAGCGACAGAAACCGCCAGCGACGGTGGCCAAGCAGAGTAGGACGCCGAGCAGGCTGTGGAACAGCCGAGGCGGCGGGCATTTGAGTTGCGGCGCCACGTCACCTTGCCGACGACGACCAGGGTGGCGACCGCGGCGGCGACCTTCGGCGGTACCATCGCGAGCCACGAGAAGGCGCTTGCGAAGAAACCGACAGACGCCGCCGCCACGCCGGTGAGGCACACAGTGGCGACGGCGAGGCAGACGGTGGCGGACGAGGCCGCGCCGCGAGCCCCCTTTCCGCTCGCCGCGGTGGAGGCGCCGCAAGCGATGGCCAGGAGGATGAGCACGAGGCCGGACATCGCAGCTTGAGCTTTGGCACCTGGCGACGCAGGCGGCGGCAGCG